TTTCCTGCATTGTGTATGGGATTGATCCAATGTCCCATGGAGCTCCTTCCAACTCTATGATTCTGTGTTTCTTTTAAATTTAAAAAGTGGTTTTTAAAATGTTGAATTGGAACTATTTTAACTTTCTAAATATTTATTTCACAACAAACAGGTTTAAGAAAAGTGGCCTGCCTTTTGGTGCTGGTGTGTGTGTGTGGGTGGGGTGGGGGTGGGGGGGATCTGGATTTCAAACTCCCATTTTAAGACTGCAGTAATTAAACTGATTTGCAATCTTTTGTCATCTATACTGTCATTGCAAACATTTATACATTTATCTAGGAATTAATGTTATTTAACATATTGTAAACTATGAGCAGACATGCGTGGGATTAGACTGTAATTCAAAATGACCTTTCTGTGTAGATGAATGAATCATAGGATAGAGATCAAAAGAATATTCAAAATATTTGAAAATGGGTTTTAAATGTTTTTTTTAAATGTTGAAAGTCCTCACAAGAAGAATCCTGAATTGATAAGGATTATTGCATTTCAGAGCTTATTCTGTGCAAAATTTGTAAGTGGTGTTTTTGTGTCAAAAAATAGTATTCTCTGCACAGGAACCAGGGTTTTCTGTATCAANAATTATTACACTGCAGACATACTAATTCCTGCATGGAAAATGCTGTTTTCTGCACTTGAAATCCAGTAATTGAGAATTTAGTCTATGTAAAACTCAAAAACAGTAGTTTGCATACAAAAGTACATTTTCTGAACAGGAAATGTTCTGCATATATTACTCCATAGAAATATTATTTTCCACATGGAAAATGTTTCTTGTACAGAAAATGTTATTTTCTACACACACACACACACACACACAAAGGGGAAATGCTGCACAGAAGAAATTCCAAATTACAAAATACTCTTCAAAAACTGTGGTTTTTAAAAGACAACAGTAGTAGTAGGGGGAAACACAAGTCAATATCCTTCCTGAATGGTAGTGCTCAGAACTGAACACAGATGAATCCTGGGCAAAGCAGAATTTGGGATGTTTCAAAAAGATGGATTTGATTTGAAATTTCTATTTATTTGCCACCATAAGCCAGTTATGGATTAAACCCTTACCATTTGAAAAGATGGGGCATGGAGCTTCAAGTGATTACTTCTATCTGGGTTGCTATGAGATTTCTGGGCTGTATGGCCATTTCCAGAAGCATTCTCTCCTGACGTTTTGCCTGCATCTATGACAGGCATCCTCAGAAGCTGTGAGGTCTGTTGGAAACTAGGCAAGTGGGGTTTATATATCTGTGGAATGTCCAGGGTGGGAGAAAGAACTCTTGTCTTTTTGAGGCAAGATGCAGGCTAAATGTCAGGAGAGAATGCTTCTGGAACATGGCTATGCAGCCCAGAAAACTAACAGCAACCCAGTGATTACGGCTATGCAAGCCTTTGACAACACATACTTCTATGTGTCTCTCCCAGTGCACAAAGAACCCCTGCCTTCATTCTTCATTTGCAGAGGTATTTTTTAGAGTAGAGTAGACTCAATAAATAAAAGTAGCTTTAATATTGCTTTACCCAACCCCCACTGATTCAGTGGATGCACTGTAGTTGGGCTTAAACATTGGATTTCCCCTCTGAGAACTGCAAAAGCAAGAGAGAAAGAAGGGTCTAGTTTCACTCTTGATCTCTGTGACAGGATTTAGGTCCTTTATGTAACCTTTCCTTTATTTTCTTGGAGAACTTCCCCTAAATAAGGACCAGTATAGCCTTTTTAGAGTCTTCTAAAGCTCTAATAGACATATGACAGGGAGAACATTTTAATATTTTCTGACATGAGAATTGCATACAGTACATGCACATTATGTACAGTAATCTGAATAGACATTCTCAGAGAAAGAGATATCAGTCATCTCCCTCTCTCTGTTAATTTGGTGTTGTTTTCCCATCACTGCTCTCTACAGCCTAACACTATACAAGAGACATGAAACTGTGTGATATTGTTCACTATATTTGCAGTAGCCTTCACAGTTTCAAATCTGGAAGTCTTTCCTAGCTATATTGGAAGATGCTAAAGATTGAACCTGGCTAGAAGCATGCTGCAGAAGCCTAAATTAGACAAGGCTGCTACTGAAGTTAAAAAATAAATAAAGGAAAGGTAAAGGTTTACCCCTGACATTAAGTCTAGTCAGGTCCAACTCTGGGGGTTGCTGTTCATCTCCATTTCTAAGCTGAAGAGCCAGGCATTGTCCGTAGACACCTCCTAGGTCATGTGGCCAGCATGACTGCATGGAGTGTTGTTACTTTACCACTGGAGCGGTATCTTTTTATCAACTCACATTTGTATGTTTTCAAACTGCTAGGTTGGCAGAAGCTGGAACTAACAGCGGGAGCTCACCCTGCTCCCCAGATTTGAAACATCAGCTTTTTGCTCAGCAAGTTCAGCAGTTCAGTGGTTTAACCCACTGCACTACTGGGAGCTCCTAAAAATTAAATAGCAGCTGCTTTATTCCTAGTGTAGTGATACCTTTCACCATGGATTTTGTGCTCAGGACAGGATGTATAGCTTTATTTCCAGTGCAAATAGTAACTTCATGAAGTTTGTCAGAAACATAGGAGTGGAAAGGTTTACATATTCCTGCTATGGTTTTCTGCTGATTTGGCAAATTGCTGTCTACATTTTCCGTTTTTTAAAAAAACCAATACAATTATCAAAGGCAATCCCCTCTGAACAAATCTTGCCAAGGAAATCCCATGATAGGGTTGCCATAAATCATAAATGATTTGAAGGTACACAATAACATTAATGCAATAGATCAGGGGTCCTCAAACTTTTTAAACAGAAGGCCAGGTCACAGTCCCTCAAACTGTTGGAGGGCAGGATTATAATTTGGAAAAAAAACCATGAATGAATTCCTGTGCACACTGCAGATATCTTATTTCTAGTGCAAAAAACATTTAAATGCAATACAATAATTAAAATGAAGAACAATTTTAACAAATATAAACTTATTAGTATTTCAATGGGAAGTGTGGGCCTGCTTTTGGCTGATGAGATAGGATTGTTGTTGTTGTCGTCTGCTTTCAAGTCATTTCAGACTTAGATTGACCCTGAGTGAGGGCAGGGTAAATGACCTTGGAGGGCTGTATCCGGCCCCTGGGCCTTAGTTTGAGGACCCCTGCAATAGATCTTAGATGCACAAATCCTATTTGTACAACTTATGCAGGACATAAGCTTATGTATACTTGACCTTTTTCCTGATTAGGGGATATGGAGCTCTCTACTCCTATTTCACAACTCGTCCCGAAAATAACTAGTAAGTTAGACTAGTAAAAACGTACCTGCATGGGCACAATTCCTGGGATTCGACCCTTTGAATGTTCAGGAATATGGGCTATCATCAGATGCCTATCTCCAGAAAGAGCTTTTAGATCTGCCGCTATTTTCCCAGAAAGTTCAATTTCGCTGTTGATCTTTCGGTAAGTCTCTTTGTTGGCGTAGTCAGCAAATTTGGCTGCCACTGTAGCCCCAATATCAGCAAAGGCATAGTTGTCAGCCACCAGTTTTCCAACTGCGTTTAAGACACTAGGTATTTTGGTGCGAAAGAGAATAATGTTCTGGGCTGAGGCCAGGGCTTCATTAGCCTGGGTAGTCACATGTGGCTGTACCCCAGACAAGCTCCACACTTTTCCAGAGACTGGACTAAGAACAATCTGGCTGGGAATGGAAGTATACAATGGAGTGCTGCCCATGTTGTAAATATTTGCAGAGAGTGAGCCACCCACAGTAGGTTCCCCAATTACTGTGGCGCGATGCAGGTCCTTCAAAGAGCGAGTAAAGGCTTCAGCAGCTGACCCACTAGCATGGCTGATTAGAATATAAAGATCTTTAGTTGAGCCATAACGTTTGCCAGATACTTGGGATGAAGTCCACACTTCAGTACTCTGAGAGGTGCTACGGTCAATGATTGTGTAAAGGTGCTGTTGAGGTTCAGCATCAAAAAAATAGGAGCAAAAGATGGGCACGGCAGTAGAGTAACTGCCAGTATTGTAGCGCATGTCAACAATCATAGCTTGAGTTTCGACTAGTTTTTCCCAAACCATGTTAAGTATTTGTGGTTCAATGGTCTTCACAGACTCTGCCTCGGCCATCATGTCAAAGCGTAAATATCCCACATTGCCTGGTAACACATCCACCTTGAAGAGAGCTTCAATTATAAAATTCAGCTCCTCGGGAGTGAGTGTCTTGTAAGGGGACTGTTCCTCTAAAGAAGGCTCAACATGACTGTGAAAGACATGCAGCTGGTGATCCCCAGAGGTTTCCTGAAGGTCATTCGTCAGCTGAGAGGCAAGTGTCTCAAAATCCACGGCTGTACGATACCCACCTTGGGCCAGTTTGGAATTCAGCGCGCTACTGACCCGTCTAGCCATTTCAGGGATAGCATAGTGAGCTTCAAGCAATTGTCCAACTCTTTCAATAAGTGACCCCATGCCCTTATGGAACTCCAGCACTTCTCTTGCCTTCTCTAGAGCCTCATCGGCTAGTACAATTGAATCAGGTACCACCCCACCTCCAAGCCAGGTCTCCCCATTGTTGTCAATGAGAGTAATGACAGGCACATTAATAAGGAGGCCACAACCCCCTCCTAATTCTAAAATGCAGAACGTGTGTGTGTGTGTTAAGCTACCAGCAGTAATCTCACCAACCAGGGTGGCACGGCCAAGGGACTGCATAAGGTATGCAAATTCTTCGGCTGCTGTCGCTGTGTTGTGGCTTGTGAGTAAGTAGACACCACGCCGTGCCCCATAGGGCTTGCCTAACATTTCAGCGTTACTGCTATAAACCTGGGTCTGGTTTGTGTGCCTGTTGTAGGTGGTAAAAAAGTGCACAGGGCCAGCAGAGGGCTCTTGGAAGTAGGACAGCAAGATTGGCACAGCAGTTGATGACGGGCCACCAATGTTGTAGCGCAGATCTATGATCAAATTATCAGTTGCTTGCAGTGGCTCCCAGACGTGCTGCAGGAGGTATGGTCCTAACTTTACCAGTACTGTAGCATCAGCAAACTCATCAAAGCGCATGTAACCCACGTTGCCTGGTAGTACAGACACCTTGAATACAGTCATTACTAGGGCTTTCATGAGCTGTTCATTGTTAGGCAAATCAGTTGCCATTGCAACCTGTGCATCAGTTTGTGCACTTACAACTTCATCTGAGGCAGGGACTCGTATTAAGAGACGTGGGTCTTCAGATATGGTCTGTAGTTCAGCATTGAGTTTGGAGGCCAGGTCCTTTACTGATAAGACAGAAGAAGAGTCAAAAGTGGAGAGGTGTTGCAGCAATACGGGGACTTGTTCTAACATGGAGTAATTGTTCTTTATAACACCCATCAAATAGCTCATACTGCTAGGAATAGCTTTGCGTAGCGATAGAATGGCCAGAGCTTTATCCAGAGCTTGTTCTGCTGGGATGACTACACATGGCATTACCCCACTGATTTCCCAGCTTTGCCCACTGCCACTTAAGGGGCTCACAGAACATGATAGAGGTACTGTCATATAAAATTGGGAACTGCCAATCTGCATTTTCTGGGTATCCAAGGAGCCTCCTGCTGATTTTTCTCCCACTATTATTGCCCTATGCATTTGTTTGAGGATGTAGGCCACATCTTCAGCCACACCAATAGTGTGTTTGCTTATCAGCAAAATTACGTCCTTGTCTTTGCTGTACCTCACACCCAGGACTTTTGGCAAAGTCAAGATTTCCACAGTAGTATTAGAAGGCCGATTGTAAACAGTATCCACATGCAGCACCTTGTCCCCATTGTACAAATAAGAAATAATGAAAGGAATGCCTGAAACATGACCTCCAGTAGTGTAACGCAGATCTAATATTAGAGCAGATGTCCCCAATAAGCTCTTCCATACCTTTTCTACTAGGAAAGAACCAATCTTCTGCACAATTTCCTGGCCCATTATGTAGTCAATCCTTAGGTAACCCACATTGTCATCCAGCACTTCATACTTCACTGTATGTTGGATAAGACTTAAGAGTTGCTCTGATGTTAGAGAAGTCTCAATTCTTTCCTTGGGAGCAGCGGAAGCTGTGGGTTCATAAGAGATCACCAGCCGTGGGTCATTCAGGGCTCCTTGCACTCCAGCTGTCAGAACAGTTGCTAAAAGCTTCGGATCGGAGATGTCCAAGATCTCTCCATTCTTGATGGCTTGTTCAATGGCTTCTTGCATTCCCACCAGGTTTTCAGGAAAGCAGTAATTATCCAACAGAAGCGTGGCCATATCCAACACCAGTGTGGATTGTAACACACTGCCAGCATAGATGCTGCAACACACCAGGACTATTGACAGCAATAAACACTTTCTCGTCATTTTTATTCAGTTAAGAAAGTGCACTCTGAAATGCAGCATGAGAAAAATCTCAAGGAGTTGCAGACTGAGAGGAGCTTAACTTCCTGCTGACCTCACTGGTCTGTCTGAATCAGTGCTGAGTGCCGAGTGTTAAATCTGAAAACAGAATATCCCTTTTATCTAACACTAACACTTAATCTTACTGTAACTCTTTAATCTCATTAAATGGGAGGGCATCATCCAGAGTACAGATAAAGTGCAGTTTTTTCCTGGTTGCAACAGCCATCTTACAAAACCTTCTTAATAGACCTTAGTAAACCCGATAATGTATAAGGCATTCTCTGTTNGTTCCTTACAAGACTACAGGCCACTACTTCCTAATATCATGCCCACTGCAAATTGATAATATTTTTGTTCACACTAAATGCTTGAGATAAATAATTTGGAACTAACTTATTTGTTTTATTATTTAAATTATATCTCACCTTTCTCCTTTTGTAGAATCCAATGCAGTTTATAAATACATAAAAGGGGTACAGTTTCATTAAAGTTATTGTTTTAAGTTTTTTAATGTCAATTCAGTTTAAAAACACACAGTTAAAACAATATTATTACAGTATTAAAATATAGTAAACAGGACAAAAACGGGCTTAAAAAGAGACTAAACCACCCATTAAATGTTTTTGTCACATATATAAGAAGTCAATGGTTTGCTTGGATAAAAAGTTATTTGCTTTATGGTGAAAGAACCATAAAGAGGGGGAAACTGAAGTTTCTATGGGAATGAATTCCATAGGCTGAGAGTTGCCGGGCTCCCTCCTATGTCCTCACAAAGCATGCCTGTAGTAGCAGTAAGGCCGGGGGCACTTCCAGACAGTGGCAAAATGCGTGTTTTAAATCTAAGGCAAAAAATCCTGGGACTGGACAGTAGGTTCACGCACAG